ATAATTAATTTTTAAATTTAAATATCAACATTTAATAAAATAATTTTTTAAAATTTTAAATAAAATTTTAATTAAATAAAATAATACAATTTAAAATTAAACTCTAATTTTTTTGGAAATCTAGATTAATGTGCATTTTGCTTAGTTTTATAAGTAAATAAATAAATAAATTATTTTTTAATGCAAGTCATTAATTTTTTAAATATCTTATTTTTTTATTAATAAATATTTAATTAAGATAAATATAATTAAATATATAGAATTATATCAATAATAAAACATGTTGATAATTATAAATAGAGAAAGATCTAATAGGGTTTTTTTCTCCTCACGGTGGGAGTGTTTCTCTTTTCTCCTCAAGGTGGGAGGTAACAAATCTTATAGCACGTTTCTGCGAAACGGAGGCTAAGGCGATGACGGATCCGAGTGTACGAGACTTAACAGCAGCGCTGGGGAAACACCTATCTTTAACAGTGGAGGAGGATGTGGGTTTAGATCTGGACGACGGTGATGAGGCGCAACGGAGTGGCGGCGGCGGACGGTGGTGCCTTGTTGGCACAGTGCTAACCCGAAAAAAGTATAACCTTGAAGCTATGGAGAACACGCTAGCAGGCATCTGGAGACCTGTTAAGGGCATGCACATGAGGATTCTTGGAAACAACTTTTTTGCTTTCTATTTTTTTTATCCGGTGGACATGCAGCGGGTATTAGCAGTTGGCCCTTGGCGTTTCGCAGACCATGTCATGGTTCTACAAGAATCAGCGGGGGGTAGACCAGTGAAGAAAGAAGACTTATTTGAGGTTCCTTTTTGGATCCAAATTCATGGGTTACCACCTGATCGTTTGACGGCTGCTACGGGCAGGAGGATTGGAGGGTCATTAGGGAGGCTAGTAGATGTGGACACGGGGGATGGCATTGGGTGGGGAGTGGAATATATCCGTATTCGAGTCTTTATTGACTCAAGAAAGCCACTGCGCAGAGGAATGACGATGACAGAGAATGAAGGGCCTTTCTGGGTGGATTTCCGGTATGAACGACTCCCAAATTTTTGCTACTGTTGTGGAATGCTTGATCATGTTGAAAGAGATTGCGAACTGGGACTAGAATTGGAGAGCTTGGGGGTGATGGAGCGCCCGTACAGCAGGGATCTTCGTGCAGGTCCAAAAAGAGGCCAACATGACGCTGCGTTACAAGTGGGGAGGTGGCTCCGTGATGCTTCCGGTAACCCAGTGGTGACTGCGGCACGGCGGAGGTGGCCTAGCCAGTATATGGAAGGAATGCCCAATTTAGAAAGTCAGAAATGTCATGATGAGAGCAGTCCTCAAAATTGGCGTATGATTGAGACAGTAACTGCAGGATTAATTGACCGAGATTGTTGCAGAGATCTTCTGGAGAATCCTGTGAATCCTACAGACAGGGAGATAATCTCGCAACGAGAGATCAATCATATTAAAATAGGGCACCACCATCCAATAAAAAATGCAGTCGCTCATGGAAATAATGAATCCGAATCAACCCCTTTTGTGTCAGAGGGGCACAATCACAGGCAAGAGAGTGATTCGATGGGACCTATTGACTTATATAAGGTGGAGCAACTACATAATGTGGGCTGTAAACAAGCCCAGGTGACACATGAGGCTAGTTTGGGTAGCCATGCGGCCCAGGCCCATGACTCAAATTCTATTTTCTTATTTACATCCCCCCAAAGCAGTAATCCTCCTCATACGAGAGCATGGAAACGAGAAGCTCGTAACAAGCCACTATCGAAGGCCCAATCTTCGCAGGCCATTAGTAGAGTTAAAAGGAAGGATGGCTTGTTTCAGACTACAGACAATGATCCAATAGGCAATGAGAAACGAGGACGAGGCAAAGGTGACAATGGGGTTATAGTTGTTTTATAGGCGGGTGCTACGGAGCAGGCCCGCCGGCTGCAATGAGTTTTTTCTGTTGGAACTGCCGAGGGCTTGGGAACCCTCGAGCAGTTCGTAGCCTCATCGAGCTGGTGGGGTTGAAAAAGCCTATAGTAGTGTTCCTTAGTGAGACACTGCTAGATAAGAAAGGAATGGAATGTGTTCGACGGAGACTTGGTTTTCAGAATTGTTTTACAGTTGCTCGTGTGGGGCGGAGTGGTGGTCTTGCTATGTTGTGGCATTCTACTGTGAAATTGTCTTTACTTTCCTATTCCCAGAATCATATTGACATGGAAGTGGATGGTGTAGGCACTTGTAAGTGGAGATTTACAGGTTATTATGGCCATCCTGAGCGGCAAAACCGAAGGAAATCATGGGAGTTAATTTGTGAATTAGCCTCCCACTCTACTTTACCTTGGCTAATTAGTGGCGATTTTAATGATTTACTTCACCCAGATGAGAAAAGAGGAGGTCAACCACAACCTGATTGGATGTTGCAGGGCTTCCAAGAAGTTATTGATAGTTGCTGCTTGATAGAACTACGTATGGTTGGTGGAATGTTTACCTGGCGTCGGAATGATTTAATGGAAAAGTTGGATAGAGGCTTAGTTACTCATCACTGGCAATCAATCTTCCCCGGTGCAAAGGTCAGGTTGTTGCCCCCTTTATCTTCTGATCACTCCCCTCTATGGATTACGCTTGCTGGAAATTATACCAGAAATAATAGAAGGAGAAGAAAATTCAGATTTGAGGAGATGTGGCTCCGGGATAACAAGTGCCAAGAGGTCATTCAGTCGAGTTGGTCTGCCGTTGAAAGTGATGGTGAGTGGCGTAGTCTGTTACATAAGATCCGCCTATGCTCAGAAGACTTGGCACATTGGAACAGCATGCACTTTGGTCATGTGCAGAAGCAGGTGAAGCAATGTTTAAGATCAATTGAGTCTATAAGACAGCAGCCAATCTCGGAATCCACAATTGAAGAAGAGAAGAGACTGCTTACTGAAACAGAGGAATGGCTTGAAAGAATGGAGTTAATGTGGCGTCAACGCTCTCAAGAAATCTGGTTACAAGAGGGGGATAGAAATACTCGCTTCTTCCATAAGAGAGCATCAAGGCACAAGGATCACAATACGATCAATAAATTGCAAGGTGAGGACGGGGTGTGGAAGTATGACTTTAAGGATCTCCAACGTATTGCTACTGATTACTTCTCTGCTTTATTTTCCTCATCGCAACTTACTGCCATACACTGAGTTACTTGCTGCCTGCAACCCTATGTGTCTATCCAAGATAATGAGTTTTTGCTTCGTGATTTCACTGAGAATGACATTACACAAGCACTGTTTCAGATGCACCCATCAAAGGCACCAGGCCCTGATGGTCTTTCCCCAGCTTTCTTTCAACAGTTTTGGAACATTGTCAAGGAGGATGTTGTGAGACCCTGTCTACAGTTCCTTAATCATGGAGGAGCCTTACCACAGGACTTGAATTTTACTCATATTGTACTTATTCCAAAACGCAATGAACCTAGGACAATGGCTGACTTAAGACCAATAAGCCTATGTAATGTGGTGTACAGAATTCTAGCGAAAGTGTTGGCTAACCGTTTTAAGCAAGTTCTACAGACAGTGATCTCCCAAGAGCAAAGTGCCTTCTTACCAAATAGGCTAATTACAGATAACTTCTTAATTGCCTACGAAGTGCTTCACTATATGCGGAGTAGGAAGAATAGAAAGAAAGGATGGCAGGCAATAAAGTTAGATATGAGTAAAGCATTCGACTGAGTTGAATGGACATACCTGGAGAGTATTATGAAGGCTCTTGGTTTTGCTAATGAATGGACTCAAAAGATAATGAGCTGTGTATCCACTGTTAGATATGGAGTACTACTGAATGGCATGGAGATAGGAGCAGTCATGCCAACTAGGGGCCTCCGACAAGGTGACCCATTATCACCTTATCTATTTATTCTATGTGCTCAAGGTCTCACTGCTATGATCAAAGAGGCTGAATACAGGAAGCAACTTCATGGAATCCGTATCTGCCGGCAAGCTCCAAAAATTTCCCATCTCTTCTTCGTTGATGATAGTTTTCTTTTCTTACGAGCTACTGAAACTGAAGCAAAGAATTTGAAGGCTATTCTCCAAACATATGAGGAAGTCTCTGGCCAAGTTATCAACTCACAGAAATCTTCCATCACATTTAGCTGCAGTGTCCGGCAGGGATTGAGGGATAGTATCTCGTGTATTTTGAACATGATTGAGGCTGAACAACCAGGGCGATACCTTGGCTTTCCAGCACTTGTGGGTCATTCTAGAACAGCTACTTTTGCCAGCTTGAAAAGCAAATTCTGGAAGCGTATTGGTGAATGGAGGGAACAGCCATTATCAAGAGCTGGTAGGGAAATCTTAATAAAGTCAGTGTTGCAATCCCTACCAACATACATTATGGGGCTATTTCTTCTTCCCATTAGACTTTGTACAGACTGGGAAAGGATTATGAATAGGTACTGGTGGGGGGGTGGAGAGGAGGAATACAAGATACATTGGCTGGAATGGTGAAGAATGGCTATTCCGAAGAAGGACGGAGGCTTGGGGTTCCGGGCAATGCATGAGTTCAATATTGCTATGTTAGGAAAGCAAGGTTGGAGACTTTTAACTAATCCAGATTCCCTAGCAGCAAGGGTTATGAAGGCCAAATACTATCCTAGAACGGATTTTTTACATGCTCAAGTAAAGCCCACATGCAGTCTTACATGGAGAAGCATTTGGACCTCTATGGATTTGTTGAAACAGGGTTGTCGGAAGCTTATAGGAAATGGACTCAATACAGAGATATGGGGTGATCTGTGGCTCCCGGGAAACTCACAGTTCCATGTCCAAACACCAAAGCCTACTGGATGTGAGCTTCGTTATGTTAGTGATCTCATTGAAGAGGAATCCCATCAGTGGAAAGAAGATTTAATCTTGCATACGTTTAGTGCTCATGAAGCTCAATTAATTCTTTCTCTGCCTCTTAGCTGGACGAGGATGGATGATAATTGGACTTGGAACTTTACTCGGCATGGAAAATATGCTGTGAGATCTGGCTATCATAAAGCTATGGAGATGCGAGGCAACCGAGATAGTCCTTCGAGTTCTTCCTCTAACTTTAGAGGTCGGCAGCTGTGGTCTATGAAGGTGCCAGAAAAGGTACGTTTACTAATGTGGAGTGCTTACCGTAATATTCTACCCACAAAGGACAACTTGCACCATAGACATGTTAATGTTGATTTAGACTGCCCTATGTGTGGAAATAAAAAGGAATCCGTGCTACACTGTCTTTTGTACTGTGAAATTGCACGGGCGGTATGGATGGGCTCCCCATTGGGAATTCGGGTGTCTGAATTTCAAGTAGATGACTTCGCTACCTTTTTTGACAATATTTCTTGTATTTTCCAGAAGGAACAACTTGAGCTTCTTTGCATTTTATGCTGGAAATTATGGAATTGCAGGAATGAGACACTGTGGATTGGTCGTCGGACATCCCCCCAACATATCATTGAACATAGTATCACTTTCCTGGGAGAATATAGGAAATTAGTCTTATCGAAAGGCAGGGGGGCTGCAATGGTACAAAGGAGAAGTGAAATGAGGTGGAGACCACCAGAGGCTGGCTTTATAAAAATAAATGTGGATGGGGCAATTTTTGTGCAGAATGGTGCATATGGGATGGGTGCCGTAGCGCGAAACCATCAAGGTGAAGTGTTGGCAGCAATGGCGTGTAAGGGACAGGGAGCAGTAGCTGTGGAAATAGCTAAAGCATGCAGTCTACGTATGGCACTACAATGGGCTCATGATCTCACTTTCAGAAAGATTTTTTTGGAAACAGATTGCGTAAGCCTAGTGACAGCAATCAACAATGAAATACTTTCCACAAATTCAAGCCTCGGTGCTGTTCTTTTGGACTGTAGAGTACTAATGACATCCTTCATGCATTGCCAAGTCAACCACATTCGTCGTGAAGGAAATGCTGTTGCCCATGAGCTTGCAAAACGAGCCCTCCAGGCTGAAGCAAATGAGTACTGGATAGAAGAAGTACCAGTTGACAGCGCATCTTGTAACAGGAGAACATAATGCCTCATGATATGTATTCTTCCTGTTTATATTATTTAATAAAGTATGTGTAGCATTCTTATAAAAAAAAAATAGAGAAAGATCTTTTTTGATAGACAAAAAAAATTAAAAATATCATAATAAATCACCTAATATACGGATATTAAAGGGAAATATCAATTATTAAAAATTTAATAGGCTTCTACTGCTCTTTACCAACTTATTCGGATCTTTTATACATAAATAAGTAAACTTCTCCCAAAATTGTTCTTTCATTCTGCAGCAAAGATATTTTCCAAGAGAGAGTACGGAAGATAGAGGTATGCTTTCAATGCAATTTTTTTTTGTATTACCCTTTAACAACTTCTTTGGATCTTTTTATAAATATATAAGTAAATAAACTTCTCCCAAATCTGCTCTCTTTTTTTTTTAAATAATTGTCATAGCTACAAATTGAATCCTTACCAAGAAAAAAAAGTGAATCTTTAGAGTGACAGGGTCACTTGACTTTATGGGACAGGTTCTCCCAAACTTGGTCATTGATTCTCCGACAAACATATTTTCTTATAGGGAGTACAAAAAATAGAAGTTTTCTTTTAATCTCGTTTTCGATGCATTTTTTTTATTAAAACAATTTCACGAAGCTTCTACATGTTTCATATATCATATATGTATATATATACACACACTTATCAGTTTTATAATATAATTAAAAATATATATTTAATTAAATATGATTATAATTTTAAAGTCTGAATTTGTTTGAGTTTTAAATAGTTTTATTTTTATTTTTTGTAATTTTTTTCCAGTGTGAAGGATGAAAAAGTTTTCGTAAGAATTACTAATGAAGTTCAGCTAAATAGTTATTCTAATGAAACTCGGGATGTTGTTAGCAATGATAATGAATCAACACAACAATCAGATGATGAATCAACACAACAATCAGATGATGAATCAACACAACAATCAAATGATTGGCAAAATTTAATATTTGACACAATTAACATTAATATATTAAAATTTAATTATATAAACTTTGATTTAAATTAAAAATCAATTCAAATTTCAAACTTAAAGATATAGAGGTAAATTCAAATTCTACTTTCATAGATTTTTTTGATTTTTTAAATATCTAAATTCAAAAGTTAAAAAGGAAAATGTACGGAATCACACAAATCCATTGCAATAGTTATAAAAACTCAAGGTAGAAAAAAAAGATTAAAGGTTGACGTACCTGAAGAGAACCCAGTTAGAGAGTATGCTTGTGGCCAAGGTTTTTAAAACCGAATTGGTTATTGAACCTTTTTTAGGTTTGGTTTTTGGAACCGGTTGAACCAATGAACCGATCGGTCTAAACAACAAGGGAGAATCTGATGAGGAGCAGGCAATTTTGTAATTTTATTAAAATTAAGGGTTAAAATCGGTATAAGAAAGGAATGGTGAGGGTGAAATTGGAAAAAATAGAAAGAAGATTGTATGAGAAATTAAACCGATGGTTTTTTTGGTTCTACTGGTTCCATCGGTTTTGATCGGTTTTTAACCAATTTTGACCAATTTTAACTTCAAACGGTTTTTTATATAAATCGAATCATTTTTATTATCGAGTACTAGTTCGACCGGTTCAACCGGCTAATCTGGTTCGATTTTAAAAACCTTGCTTGTGGCTTAGCAAACATGCGTGAGCTTGTCGCGAGAAACACAACCCCTGTGAATGTTAATAATTGGGAAGAGCTGTTCACATTAGTAGGTGATCAAATGTTAAGTCAAATTAAGGTACTGTTATAGTAATTATGTTAAATTTATATATATAACATCTTTTAATTATAATTGCATGAATTAATTCATGAGTTATTAATTTTGTTTTCTAGGAAAATTTTGAATTTCCTAAGTATTTAGAACTCTAAACAACGAGTTGATAATAATACGAAACGCCCACTCTTATTTGAACTTATGAATCAATAAAGGAGGATAAGAGAATTAGAACATAAATTGCAATCTCTCAAGAAAAAAAGGAGTGAAATTTTGGTAAGAAGAGAAAAATATAAAAAAGAATTACTAAATAATATCTGATCACAATATTAGAAAGAGAATGGCAATTGTTGGATCGATAATTTTACAAATTTGGAATAAATATAAAGTGTAAATTTTTTTTTTGGAAGATTTATCTTATTTAAATCTTATATCTTGTTGAATATTATTTTTAATATAATTAAAAGTTTTAGTTTTATAATTATATTTTTTATTAATGTAAATTCAATTAATTATGCTTTAGAAGTTATTTAATTAATATTAAATTTTCAAAATAGTTTAATTATATATATTGATTGATGCTAAAATATTATATTTAATGATCTTTCACAATTAAGATATAATATGATAAAATATTTGTTGGAGAATTTGCCCTTTCACAACAATCATTGATTTTAAATTTATTTTTTAAAGTGATTATATTTGTTTCAAAATAAAATTTAAGATAGCAAAAACTTTAGTTACAATATAAAATTTAAGATAACAATCATGATAGTTGCATAATAAATCTTTTAGCAACATTTCAATAGGGCAGAGAAAATACATTTTTTGCAACAATCATTAGTATTTCTATATATTTATAATGTAACTATTAATATTGTTATTAAATCATATTTTACAAAATAGTAAATGAAGTTTAAATTATTATATGGCAGCCACATATAATTGTTGCTAAATCTCATTTGCTAAACTAATTTACAAAGTTAGGAAAAACCTTTTTACCAACATTTTAAATGGTTGCTGTAACCATTTTTTTTACAACAATTATAATAGTTGCATAATATGTTTTTACCAACAATTCAACATGGTAGAGAGATTTTTATCTCCCATGTAGCAGGCTTGTTCCCAATACTATTTTACAAATAATTTATGACATAAAGAAATTTCCCTTTTGGTAATAATTGTAATAGTTATGACAATACACATTTAATAATAACTAATTTAGTTGCATAATTTCTTTTTTGTAACAGCATTCTTTGGGTATTGAACTTACTTTGCATAACAACTTGTTTTTGTTGTAAAATTGAACTTTAGGTAATGATTTATGGTGTTGTTATAAAATAATTTTAGTAATGATAAATATAGTTATTAAAAGTTAATAAGGCACCATTATTATGTCATTGTTATTGTCTTTTACCTACGGGTGTATATCGTAGGTATTTTGTTTTATTTACTGTTTTTTAAATGTGGATATAAGGTCATTAATCTTTTATCTACGACATATAATATTGAAAGAATATGTACATTTACGTAGTTAATTATCTATAGTTATAGGACATATAGTTACACATTTTTCTCCATAGATATAAGCCTCAAATGGGATATACCTGCAGATTTTTACCAATACATACAATTTTTATCTGTAGTTAAATGGCAAAAATGCTATTAATTAATAGAGCTAAAATCAGTTTTTGTAAAGTAATTAATTTAAATAATATCAATGGCATATAGACATACAGTATACATGAAAACATACTAATTACTTCACAAGACCATTTATATAAGGTCAAATATACAAATTACCCCTCAAAATTATCATGTTAAAGTAAATTGTCACTCAAAAAGAAAGTTGATGCAATTTGTTACTTTAAACTTTTATTCTCAAAAAATCAATCCAAATTTAATAATTATTGTTAAACTTTATTAAATTATTACTCTTACAATCTAATGAAAAGTTAACGATAATTTTAAATTTGATTGAATTCCTTAAAAATGAAAATTTAAAATAACAAATTGTATCAACAATTTTTTTTAGTAATATATGGTTTGCTTCAACACAATAATTTTGGGAGAGAATCTGTATCTTTTACCTTTATATAGATGTGCGTTGGTATGGCACTCACTTAGACTAGCTCTCGTTTGGCATTGCTTTTCTAATGTTTTTTCCTTATAGCAACATGGTGTTATGGTATTTTTATAATTAGTAAACTTTCTGGAAATTACTTTCTCAAAAAGCTATAAAGAGTCACAACAAATTTTTGTATAAAATATAAGACCAAAATATCAAGGAAAGCAATAAAAATATTAACATAATTTCTATATAAAAAAATGATTACAACCCACCTACAACACTTGATAAATATTAACTACATAAACATTTATATAACTTTTGACAAAAGCACACCATAACGAAACCATAGTTATTGTTACAGGCACAGTAACAATGTTAAAGGCAATCTTAATCAAAACCTAAAAGTGGTTTTTCCTTATCCCAATTCAATTCCGTTTGTTTTGGGGTCCTTGCTGAGACATAAACAAGGTTAATTTGTTAATATTTGAAGTCTTTGTGTTAACAAATTTTTAAAAGAAAAAACATAGGGAAAAAAGTGCTAAACTATCAAAAAGTTGAGGGCATGGATATCTAACGTTCTTCAATTTTTTCTTTTTTTATTTTTTCGCTTGTGGATCCTTTTCATGATTGTCCTTTTCTTTGTTTCCTTTGCGTGCCGCAGTTGATTTGAAGAATTACCACTTTTTACAGTAACATAGATCCGATCCTACGTTGCCTCCTTAGCCAATAGTTTCTAGTATACCTTCACATCAAAAGTTCCAACTACGTTTACGCAATTTGCCATGCTCCCAAGTTCCGACCTTTGTTCAGAAAATTTCAAATATATATTAACGATCCAAAGGTGTGAATGCGTAATGTAGCTTCGTGTACAAGTCCCGGACTGTCTTTCTCAATTATGCGTAATGTAGCTTCGTGTACAAGTCCCGGACTGTTTTTCTCAATTATATCCTTCAAATTAAACAAAAAAAAGGCACTTGGCCCAAAGCCCAATGACGTTCGGTTACGTATAAGTGCATTCCTCCATTCTTAGAATAATGGTTCGAATCCAGTCTCATGCGAATTTGTTTTAAAAAAATTTAAACAAAAAAAAAAAAGAAAAGAAAAAGGATAGCTCTAGTAAGGTTTTGGAAAATCATCTATATACCTTTTGTTTAATTTATTTTTTGACATATTTTTTTGTTTAATTATTAAAAATATAATATAAATATAATCGATTTAGTTGATTCTTGTATTTTATGTACATGAGTATATTTTTAAACTTGTGTACCTTTAATTTCAAATTAAAAAATAAAATTTTTTAATAAATATGTTATACAGTATATTGAACTGAGTATGTACCAATGATTGTTGTCTACAAGGTTTAATATAGTAAGTGTTTGTGTAATACCCCAAAATTTCAAGAACAAATAAGTGTGAGTTAGGGACTTAATGGTGAGAAAACATTATTAATGGACCTAACCGTCAGTTTTCCAAACTTTAAAGGGGTCAAAAAGGTGTTTGGATAAGGCCGGCTGACTCATTCCTTTTTATCTTTTTCTTCTTTCCTTCTTTCTTTCCAGCCATTTTCACGTCTGCTCTGTTTTCTTTCCCTTCTGCAGCCGAACACCACCAGCCTTCACCAACACCTACTCCTCCCGAAAAATTGGTAAGAGAACTTGATGATTTTTATTCTCCTCTTGCCCAAGAACAAGTCTAGAACTTAGAACTTCTCTCTCTTGCAGAAAAGCCGCCGAATCTGCTCTGCTTCTCCCTTCCCTGCTGCCGGCTGTTGCTGGGTATAAGCTCCGGTTTTTCCTGGTAAAACCAGCCCAGAAACTCCTCTTTTCAGCCTTGATTTATGTTGGGTCACTCTAATCTTGTTGTTCTTTCAATTGCTAGTGGCCCCGTGGAAGTCCCCCAATTTTTCCCGCCGGCTCTTCCCCTCAATCTGCAGCTCCAGCTTGCTAGTTGAGGATTTTTGGTAAGTTAGCTTCTCCAATTTTCGAAAATTGGTGGATTAAGTGCTGATTTGTGAGTTTAAGTGGTTGTATGAAATGGGCTCGCGTTGTCCGAAAATTCTGTTGAAATAGGGATGAATTTTGGCCATTTGAAAATGGGTGTTGGTTGATGATTTGTGTAGGAAATTAGTGGGTTTGGTTGTTGTGTGATGTCCGAGAGAAAAAGGGGAGAATCCCGTGAATTGGCCATTTTCTGTCAAGGCTGGTTCTCCCAAATTCTTGTCCATGAGTTTGAAAATGGTATATGTGTAATTGTATAATTATATATATACATAGATATTAATTCAAAAATATTGTGATTAGGTCTTTGATTGCTCCGTGATCCTAGCACTTGGATTAGGCCGTCTGTCCTGTGCAATTAAGGTAAGTAAATTATGGTAAAGCCCGTAAATTTTTGAAGCATATTTTAATTGTCTTCTGAGATGGTGGCGAGGTTTAAATGGATTTATTTGCATTTGAGCATGATTAAAAAGGGAATTTGAACTTTTATTATTTTCCTTCTTTTCTAGAATTGAGCATGCCCACATGAGATTCTTCGGTTTATTTTTGAAAGTGAGAACGATCGTGAATCGTAGTTTCTGTAAATCTTGCTTGGTTTTGTCTTCGATATGGTCGTGTAATCGTGAACCCGCTAGTGGGGGAGGTTTACAAACGCTAGCACATGTCGACATGTTCGTGATAGAACCGATTCGCTCGTGGCCCTACTAGTGGGGATTATACACTAGTACTCGTGTGCCTGCCAATGGGAGGTTTATAACACTGGCCATGACTAATAAAGGAGAACACTACGTGATTTTATTTTGCATTAATGATTTGTTATTGAAACGCTCTGTTCATGTTTCAACCGATTATTTGGTATGCTTTAAACTTTGATGTCGGGCCCCCATGTTTACTTACTGAGATATTTCTATCTCACGGTTTCCTTGTCCACCATTTTAGGTAGCGAGACCCGACGCGTGGAAAGCCCAGGGGAGTGACAAGCTAGACGGCTAGGCACTTTTGGACTTAGGTTTTTGTAGCTAAGCCGTTAGTCACCCATGCTTGACATAGTAAATTTTGTGTATAGAATTTAGTGTTAGTCATGATTGTATATATGAAGTGATAAATTTTGTACATCTGA